TTTCTCTCAGAATGGTCTTTGTAGACATGAGGGCCAAGGTGGAGCCCAAGGAAAAGTTTACAACGGTGAGACCGGCTATGTTATATGGTCTGGAGACAGAGACATGGACAAAAAGACGAGAGAAAGAACTGGAAGTGGCAGAAATGAAGATGTTGAGGTTCTCCTTAGGAAGACAAGGATGGATGAGATTAGGAATGAGATCATCAGAGGTACAGCACAGGTTGAACAACTCGGTGTTAAAGTTAGAGACCAGACTGAGATGGTTTGGACATGTCCAGAGGAGGGACAGTGGGTATACTGGTAGAAGGATGTTAGAAATGCAGCTTCCAGGAAAAAGACAAAGAGGAGATATGTGGATGCAGTTAGAGAGGACATGGAGGTAGTTGGAGTGAGGACAGAATGAGATGGAGGAGGATGACTAACTGTGGAGAACTCTGAAAGAGGAAAAGCCAGAAGAAGAAGAAGAAGCCTTCCTCATCAATATATTTTCAACATTTATGGAGTTTGTTATTAAGAGCAACTTGCTCCTCTTTAAAATAATTTCTATCACAACTGATGGTGTTCCTGAGATGATGGGTCACACCAGATTTGTTGCATTGTGCAAGCAGAATGAATTGTTCACAGATACTCTGAACTATCTCTGCATAATCCACTAACAGGCATTGTGTGGGAAGATGTTAAACATAAAAGAAGTGATGGACGTCACCATGAAGACCGCACGCTCTTTACGAGCCAGTGGTCTGTAGGGAAGATCATTTTGGGCTCACTTGGAGGAGGCGTGCAGACCACATAGACCAGCACGCTGCTGCACATGGATGTTGGTGCAGATTCAGTGAGGTGTTCCCTGAAAAAGGGTTTTTAAAGAGCTTGCTGAAGGACCCAGCGTGAGACACATGAGCATGTAGGTAGGCAACCACAGTTTTATTGTTGGTCTAGGGATTTAAATCAGCGACCCTCCAATCACAGGCTTGCCTTCTATAACCTCTGCGCCACCTGTTCCAAAACAAACTCCACAAAATCAAACTAAAAACACATTCCACATTGTTTGATTGTTGTGTCTCTCAATATAAATTATGAGTTACTAAAAAAGATCAAACAAGGTGAATTGTTCTTATGAATCTATTTTTTTAAATATTACTAAAATATTTTGGTTATAGACAGATGGTGTTTGGTTTAAGTATACGGTAATCCCTCGTTTATCGCAGGTGTTTGGGACCACGCCCACCCGCGATAAGTGAAAAACCGTGAAGTAGGGATACAGTAGTCCAAGTTCAAGTTCAGTTAAAGTTCAGTAAACATTGTCACAACATGTGCCAGGTTTTAATCGCACTCATCACCTCTTACTCCCAATCTCCCTCCTTAAATAAACAATTTAAATTTAAATACTGTAGCATTTTAAATAAACAATCCACGCAGCATGGATTGTTTATTTAAAATGTTACAGTATTTAAATTTAAACTGTAGAGAAGAGAAGTGCAGCAGGACATCAGAGGGATGTCACACAGCTTCAGCTCTGCAGCACGGAGCAGAAATGTACTTCTTGATCAATTACCCTGAAACAAATGAACATAGAAGTTATCAAATAATTACAAATAACTTTTAACACTTTTATATTTCGTGATTATGATGATTTTTACGATGTGACATACTTTGAATTATAAGTTGGAAGACAAAAGTCAATCGGTCGATTTGAACAGAAAGTTAACCCTTCACAAAGCTGCAGCAGGAAAAAGGAAATCAGCTGATTAGCTGCAGGAGGGAACTCCCCCCTGCACCTGTGAGCTTCACACATGGTGCAAAATCATTTAAAATTATTTATTTTAAATAAACAACCCATGGCTCATCCATCAATCAGCCACTTATGTCATGTCCAGTCTTACTTTGAAAATCTGCGATATAGCGAACTCGTGATAAACAAACCGTAAAGTAGCGAGGGACTACTGTATTAACATTGGTGATGATGATGATTACGTGGGGGCTTCATTTTTGAGAGGCACATATAAATCTTAAATAAATTGTGTGTTTAGGGTGGGGGTTAGTTTTTCCAGTACTGAATAGGTCCTGACCCATTTCCACCTGTGCTTGACATAAGGTCCCTCCTCTTTTCGTGGCACTAACCGCCCCTCATACAGCTTCATCTCCTCCTCGTATCACAAAACGAACCTCCAGGGAGGTGTTTTCAGTGAGGCTCCTGCAGGAGCTGATCTGCTGCTTCATGGCTCGACGTGTCGGGATGATGGTGGTGGGGGGTCCGTGTTTCACTTCACATTACACCGCTGCAGCGCCTGGTTCTGTTCTGGCGCCATGACTTCAGTCCTGGCTCTCAGTGGACGGTGAGAGCGTGTGTTCAGCACCACGGACAGCGCCATGACGCGGCTGCGCAGGAAGGCTCTGGTCGCTCTCTTCCTCTTCGCCCTCTTCATTTTCGGAACCATGATGGGCCTCAGGACGCTGAAACCCAGCGACGGCTTCTCGGACCTGGCGCCCGGAATGGACCTGACGGGGGAGAGGTCGGAGAGGAGCCGTCAGGAGGAGGGGAAAGGCTCGCTGGCGTCTCCGGGCCTGTTCCAGGCTGCGAGCGACACCAAGGTGGTCCTGAGCAGATCCGACAGGGAGCACAGCATATTCTATGACGTGCACATCTTCTACTACTTGTGGTACGGCTCTCCCAACGTGGACACGAAGTATATCCACTGGGACCACCCAATGGTGCCGCACTGGGACCCAAAGATCGCAGCCGAGCACGCGCAAGGGAAGCACGCGCCTCCCGAGGACCTGGCGTCCAGTTTCTACCCTGAACTGGGACCCTACAGCTCCAGGGACCCAAAGGTGCTGGAGTCTCACATGGCGCAGATGGAAGCAGCTGCTGCAGGTAAACGTCATGTCCACATGTCTCTGGCTTGTTTCTGTCTTTAAAATAAATAAATAAATTAAGTAATTAATTAAAAAATAAATAAATAAAAAGTGTGATTTCAGTGCTCTTTTAATTCTGAAGCAAGAAACCCCGACTCCAGCTGCTGTTTAATTTTCTGTTTTTAATCAATTTGCAAAAATCTCAACAAAATATTTTTCAGTTCAGTTTATTTCTACAGCACCAAGTCACAACAGAAGTGATCCCAGGACACTGAACAGAAACATTCATATATAAAAATAATAATTTAACATTATTTATCTGAGGAGCAGACTGCTTTGAGTTTAACTTCATTATAGAAGTCTCATCTTGAGCATGAAGGCGACAGTGGAAAGAAAAAACTTCCTCACGAGGAAGAAACCTTTATCAGAACCAGACTCAGGACAAGCGACCATCTGCTTCGACCAGCTGAGTTTGGTAGGAACAGATACACAATGGCAGGTCAAGAATCACATGTTAAGATAGAAATAGTATCAAATGAAAACTATTCAATTTTAACAATTCATTTAAGGAAATGAGGTCAGTTTGTCCTCTAGTAGTCTAAACCTATGGCAGCATAACAAGCCAACCCTAACTATAGGATTTATCAAAAAGGAAAATCTTAATCCCAGTCTTAAAACTGGACAATGTGTCAGCCTCATGGACTGAAACTGGAAGTTGGTTCCACAAGAGAGGAGCCTGATAACTGAAAGATCTTCCTCCCATTCTGCTTTCTCACATTCTCATAATGGGGTATTATGCGCAGCATTTTGAGGAAATAGATTAATTTAATACAATTTGCAATAAGTTTGTAAGATATCAAAATGTGGAAAAAGTGAAGCGCTGTGAAGACTTTCCAGATGCACTGTTTTATTTTTTCACCTAAAGGTCTTCCTTCACCTCCTTCTCAAGCCATCTGTCTTCTCTGTCCAAAATATGAACATTTGGTTCTCAAAAGAGAGTCTCGTAGGTGCAGGTGCAGAGCTGCGTGTTGTCCTGAAGAGCTGGCTCTCCTGTATTGAGCCATGTGTCCATGTGGAGAGCTTGTTTGGTCTCTCCAGTATAAATGTTGGACCATTACTCGCTGCACTGAACTGCATACACATCACTCAGTGTGTGTTTTGTCCTTCTGGTGGACCAGTCTCTGCCTGATAGGTTTGAAATGCACTGGGATTTCCTGTTTGGGGAAAATCATTCAGATTTTTATCAGATACTCCAGGGATGTATGGGGTGACAATGATGTTGCTTTTGTTCTTTCCTCTGTTGTTCTTCTGTGGTGCGTTTGTAAGATTTCTTCGCTGTTTTGCAGGGGCGATTCTAGAATCTGAACTTTAGGGGTGCTTAGCCAAGTGCTGATGATGGTGCTTGGCTTGAACAACACAGTGTCCATTGCCATCAGAGGCATTTGTAATTTGGGGAGGACACACTGGAGTGTGTGTGTGTGGGTGTGGGGGGGGGGGGGTGTCTTCCTCCAGAAAATTTTTAACAAAGTAGATGCCATTTCCTTCATTCTGGTTTTTAAACATCTACATTTGTTTACATATGTAAACACTTGATTCAATAACTATAAAGTATGGCACAACAAGAAGCTAATATTAAGCTAAAATTACTACCTGTGAAATACAACATTTTTCAGTCAGGTCATCTGGACAGTTTCTTTTTTTGTGCTGAAACGTTTCGCCTTCGATCCAGAAGGCTTCATCAGTCAAGGAAACGCACAACAAAACTGATTCTTCCCCCAACAGCTTACTCCAAAGTGGAACAAACCAGTTCTGCTTGTGATAAGATGGTCTCTTTGGTACGCCCCCTCCTCCATTGTCTGCCCTCTTCTTTGTTGACAGTCTTGTCAAACTGGTTGAAAACAACAAAGTCCATGCTCAGTAATCCAGGTATACAATCCAACATTTTTCAGTAAATATAAATGTCCAGATGACCTGACTGAAAAATGTTGGATTTCATACCTGGATTATTGAGCATGGACTTTGTTACCTGTGAAATATTTTTTATACTAATTTGTCCTACTTGCTCTTCTCAAGGGCGGATGTCTCCTCCTCTCCCTCTCCACTTTGCTTTAGCTCTGTCCCGTCTGTGAAACTGCTTTAGAGCCTCTCTTCTACAAATCTTCTGAATCATAACTATGGACTTGGATTTGGTCAGTTGGTCCCTCAACATAATTTACAACATTTCTTTGAAGAGAAGACAGGCTTTAGGTGAACCTATTTTCCCTGTTAGCACGCAGCTGGATATCTCATCGACTTTGAAGACTTGATTATGTGTCTATCTCTGCTGTCGACTGTGGATTTTAAGGACGCATTTATAATTGGATTTATGATAACTGGTTCCTGGTCTATCAACAAACAAGGAAGTCGTCGGCAGCAAATCTGGACCTGGTCAGGCTGCCTGCCTTATATGATGACTTGGTTCGTGCCTTGAGCACCCAGACTCTTGGAAGAATGGATCAGATCTCGGGGATTATTCTCAGGCATGTTCCATTGGTGTGGTCATTTAATTTGGACGTTTCAAATCCAAGTGGACTGACACAGACTCAAGGTAGATGTCATTAAGTCATTAAAGTTCTGTCTGTCCCCAAAACAATCGTGTTTATCTGGATTTGGCTCCCTGACTGCTGACAGGCGATCTTATCTCAACCCGCCTGGAAGTTTTGTAAACCTGATCCTCTACTCCCTCCCTCCCAGTTGTAGGGTCAAGAGGCAAACATATAGCATTAACACAGTATGAATAACATTCAGGAATTTTTTCTATAAGAACATTATCAAATATTTTACGTGAACGGTAAGATCGCTTTGACTGTCATTCAGTCCAGCAGACTACAAGGGCAGTGAGCAGCCAGTGACAACACACAGAGGCACTGCAGAGTTCAGATAAAATCACTTAGTTCATAAAGTTCCCTCTGCAGAGATCTGTGCACACTCAGGGGGTGCCAAGGACCAGAGACAAATCCAGAGTTCTGAAATGATGACAGAATGTTTATTCAGCTGGACTCCTCTGAAAAGTTCATGGAAATTCCTTAGTAGGAGGGTAAGGTTACAGTAGACCTAGCCCATTTCTGCAGTTTTAATTAGGTATTTTAAGCTACTAATAAGCATGATGGATGATGATCATATTGCTTTATGCTAGGCCATTGGTAAGAAGGAGCGATTATTATTGTTTCATATTGGCTAGTGATTTTTTCTTCCTAAAAGTTAACTTTTAGGCTGCACTGTGTTTCTTAAACTGTGGCTAGGATGCTGAGAGAAGCGGAGCATGCTCTATTCACACAAGGAGAGCTGTTGGTCAGGTTACTTCTTGTTGTGCCATTAACTCTAAAATAGTTATTGAATCAGGTGTTACTTGTGTAAGTAAAACTAAACATTTAACAACCGTTAAAATACACCAGAATGCAGGAAATGGCATCTACTTTATTCAAAAGGGGTCAAAAGACCCCCCTACCAGTGTTTCTCCCCACATTACAAATAATTCTGACACCAATGGCCACTGTATGTTCAAGCCAAGAGCCATTGTCAGCACTGGGGGGGCTAAGCCCCCCTAAAGGGCAGAATCGGCCCTGTAAGGTTATAATTACATGATTTTAATAATAATAGGTCGTGATCTAAAGTGGGCCACTCTGAGGCTGAAACTCCAGGGCTGAGAATGAGTCCCACTCGGGCTCTGCTGTACAGCATCCGCCACATGCACACAGAAACAACACAGCAACAGCACAGTTGTTAAACTGGGTGTTTATTTTAAACTGATGATGGAGGAGTTTGAAGAGGAAGAGCTGGTATTTCTGTTGTTAGAGTAGCACCAGTTTGCAGATGTGTCACAAAGAGAACATCACCATTTCTGGGGTGTTCTGAGGATTTGCAGTGGAGGGTGGTGCATGAAGCTGTGGCCACAAAGAGACACTGGATCAGGACATCACTGTGCCCTTTGTCAAAATAAAGAATCACTGACATCTGGTCCGCTGTTCCAGACAAATTCTACATTTTGAAACTTTGGTTCTCAGGTTTAAGATATGTTTTAGGAGAGGGACTTTTTGTTTTTGACCCAACGTATTTCACAACACATGGCATAAATGCTTGTCTGGGTTGTTTTGTATTAGGACAGGCCAAAATGAGTGTCTGTCAATGTTGAACTTTTATTTGGAGGTTTTATGACTGCATGCATAAAGGTAAAGTGTGCTTTTTATAAAATGTTGAATCTTGGATAAGTAGTAGAAATTATATCTTGCATATGATTTAGGAGTCACATTTGCTTTTTTTTTTTTTCTAAATAAAAATAAATGGACTTTGTTTTTGACAAATTTTTGATTTATATTGTAGAAATACATTGTCCCCAAAAAGATTTAGTATAAGGTCAAAGGTCTTCTCTCTATGCTGTGGTTTGGTAGGGGTGTTGGTGTTGTCATGGTACCCTCCAGGGGTGGCAGACGAACACGGGGAGCCCACTGACGACCTGGTTCCCACTGTCCTGGATGCCGCCCAGAAGCACAGCATCAAGGTAACTGGTGAGAAAACTGGTGTTTTTCCCTTTCTGATGAATGAATGAATGAATGAATGAATGAATGAATGAATCCTGAAAACTCACGGGTTTTAAATTGCTCTTGTGTGTAATCTCTTAGTTATTGTTTAATACTAAGTGGATTAAAAGTAATTCAGATAATTGATGTCTAAATATGTTAATACTTTAAAACTAATTCTGTTAGTGGTTTCTGGACCACACTGCAAAATTAATCACATATTTAGTGTTCTTCTGTATTTTATATAAATAATAATAATATGTAATTGAAAAGTGATGTGTGCATAAATATTGACTACATTTGCTTTGTAGCCCCAATCATGACTTTCAGAAGCCACATAATTAGTTAAATAAGATCCACCTGTGACTAATATAAGTCTTGGTATAGTTACAAGTTCTGATAGTAATCAGCACCAGTTCAACACCTTTACGTAGTAACAATTACCACCAAGCAAAGGACATCATTAAGATGAAGGACCTCTCACCACAAGTCAGAGACAAAGTTGTGTATAAGTACAGTTTAGCTCTAAGTTATAAAAAAAATCCTATAACCCTTAACATCCCAAAATTACAATAAGATTATTTAGTAGATAAAGTAATGATTATGCCATTACAGCAAACCTGCCAAGAGAGGTTCATCCACCAAACTCCCAGAGCAAGTAGGGAGGAAAATAATCAGAGAAGCATCAAGAGGCCAAAGATTCATTTCAATTCAGTTTATTTATAAAGAACCAAATCACAACAGAAGTCGTCTCAGGACATTGAACAGAAACATTCATATACATAAAAAGTAAATTAGTAAAGTTTTCTATGTAAGGAAGCAGCAGACTGGTTGAATCTTCCCTTTGTTGCAGTCTCCCATCCTGAGCGAGCACAAAGGCAACAGTGGAAAGAAAAACTCCCTTTGAACAAGAAGAAACCTCCAGCAGAACCAGCTCAGGACGAGTGGCCATCTGCTTCGACCGGCTGGTTTGAGAGGAACAGGAAGTAGAAACAAACTGACACAGAGTGACAGGTCCAGATTGTACCACCTATTGGAAGAAAAACAAAAACACACGTTAAGATTAAAAATAGTTTCAAATGCATAACAGGTAGAGTAGAGTAAGTAGAGACAGCAGCAGAGTGAGGACGTGTGGTCAGTTTGTCCTCCAGCAGTCTAAGCCTATAGCAGCATAACTAAGGGACAACTCAGGAAACCCAAGCAGACCTTAACTATAGGTGCCTCCACCTGCCTCCACCTGCCTCCACCTGCCTCCACCTGCCTCCATCCATCATCTTTACCCGCTTATTCCATTTTGGGTCACGGGGGTCGCCGGTGCCCATGTCCAGAAATCACTGTGCGAGGGGCGGGGTACACCCTGG